TCTTGATTTCTGTCTCTCTGTCTCTCTCTGTCTTTCTCTGTCTCTCTGGCGAGCGCATGCGCCCTATAGCAAAAAAAAAACTCTCCAAAAAAAGAAAAAAAAAGAATTATTTTATTTAACTTTATTTATTTTAATTTGACTAGAGAGAGGGAGAGAGAGGCGGGAGGGGGGGTAATGAGAGAACAAGCTGCCAGACTCGGGATTTGAACCATGGTTGGCCATGTGGGAGTCCAGTGCTCTTAACTACCACGCCACCTGCTGGCCCCTCAGGTAAAGTTTTGATGTCCAATATTATAGGTTTTTATCACGTTTGGATGCTAAATAAAGTTATGGGAAAATTCTGAGTTTCAGCAGTTTTGCATTGTGGAGTTGGTTAAGGGATGCAAAGATGGAAATGAGTCCACTGTGGTTATGCGGTGGTAAAGATGATTTCTCCTGACCACACTGTCCAGATTCTGCAGGTTGGCGCAGTCCCAGAGAATGACCTGATTCCCACTCAGACTTACTCCATTGGGGTGATGGCCTTGATCAACTTCCCATTCCAAAGAAATAGCCTGCTGAGTGCAGACAAGTACTACTTCCAGGAATGAGGATGAGAAGTGTCCAGAATGGACCTGTCTACTCCAGGATGAACAGGGCATTACCCATGCGCACTATCCAAACAGGTGGATCTTAATGGGAAAGCATTACATTGTAAAAGAATATTTGTCTAAACTGATTTTTGTTATTAAAAAATAAAACAGGTACACAGGGAAGGAGGTGATTGCAAAAGATACTGTAGTTGCAAAACTCACATGTCATGACCTTGATGAACCTCCGGATACAATCCATTACGTTCCTAGTTTGGGCCCACTTGGGTCTGGACAACTCTTTGAGCAAATTCCAAATGCTGAAAATTGCATCCAGGTGAGCACCAGTTGCATTCATCCCAGGGAGCTTTTCCAAGGTGACAGGAGTTATTTCGTGGCCACAGTTAGATGGTGCTGGAAAATTCAGTATGAGGAGCTCTGACACAGCAAAGAGGAATCCTAGGCTCTTCTGCTGTCTTAATGGAAGGCATTTGGGAGAATCCTTCATTATCTCGATGCCTGCAATCATTTTCTCCTTTTGATAATGAGCACGAGGTGGTTTTTTTTTTTTTTTAATTCAGTTGGGGAAATGAATCAAAGGTTAAAAACCAAGTTGATTCTCCTAGAAATAAGTCTGTGTGACTATGTTTGTTGACAATGGCTCTTCTGGCATTGGGACTGGTTAATGAGACCCTTCTCTCTTTACTCTCTTGAGACTCTAAACTTTTCATTGGCAGAAGACAAACACAGAAAGCAATCCCCCCACTTCTCCCCCATACACACCCTTTCTAAGGTGAGATTGTGCCTTAGAAGAAATCCTTTCTTTTATAACTTCTAATTTTATTAGGTCTTTATTAAGGTGCTAGCTGCTATTAAGTTTGTATAACTGTTCCTTAACCCAAATATCACTAAGTACTTTCCTTGGCGTTGCCCCCTAGTCAGGGGAAATGGCCGAGAAAGCCACTGATGACCGCTCACTTTCTCTGGCCCTCACCCCTAATTTTATTTGACAAACTCCACAAGTCACAAGCTGAACTTTTGCATATGTTGTGGATTTCAGAAGTTTAGGCCCTGAGCCAAGGAGCTTCCTGGGTTGATGTTCATTTTGAAACTATGCCAAGTTGTCACTTTTTTAAAAGAATTACTTATTTAATTTTATTTATTATTGTTTTTTTTTCTTTCTTTCTTTCTTTTTTTTTTTTTTTTTTTCTTTCTTTCTTTCTTTTTTTTTTTTTTTTTTTCTTTCTTTTTTTTTTTTTTTTTTTAATTTGCCATAGGGCATGTGTGCTCACCAGAGAGATGTAGGGACGGTTGAGGATGAGAAAGCAAGCTGACAGGTTCAGGACTCAAACTGCAGTTGGTCATGTGCAACTCCAGTGCCCCAAACACCACACCACCTGCTGGCCCCATCAAGCTGTCATTTTTTTAAAATGGAGTTTGGATCAAGATGGAGGTTTTGTGAAAATGATGCTAACTAAGATTTGCGCCTTCACATGTGCTTGCTCTCTATTTGAATGACTACCTCTTTCACCCACCTCCAGATAATTTCTGTATTTGCACAATTATCTTTTAGCTATTAAATATCATTTATTCCCAAGATCTCTTTTTTTCCTTTTAGTTTTGCCATAGGGTGCATACCTTCACCAGAGAGAAACATAGAGAAAGAGAAGGAAAGTGAAAAATTACCCCCTCAAGGGGGATGACCACACTGCAATCTCTTCTCCATTCTCTTCTTAGGAGTCTGGGTATGCACACACACGTACTTGGTGTGTTTTTCAAACTGCTGGTCCAGAATTTGAACCAAATAGTCACCCACATGGGATCCAAGCACCTTGGCCACCGTGCCACCAGTTGGCCTTCTCAGATTTTTCTTTTACTACTATGAACTGTTTTAGTTCTCTCTGCTATGGGCTCACATCACAAGTTGTATGTCCCTATCACAACACTTTTCTACAGTTTTAACTGCCTATTTAATTGGTGGTCTTATTAGACTGTAAATGCTATACATTTCTAAGTGGTTTATTTTGTGTATTAACACCTACTGTAGTCCTTAATGCATAATAGATACTCAATATACTTTAATGAAAAGATTAATAAATCAGATACTAAATTTTAGAAAATGTAGCTGTTCCCAAACATTTGAGTACTTGATGTTATTTTGACCAATTCCTATTTATGCCAATGAGACTTCTTTTTCTTTAGAGTTTTTCTGAAAAATTGAAAAAACGAATTCTTTAAGGGAATGGCAGATGGCATGGTGTTTGAAGAGCTGGATTCCCACATGGTCGACCGTGGTACCGAGTCCTGGACCTGGTGGCTTATCTTCTCATTTTCCCTCTCTCACTCTCTCTGTTCAAAATTAAAACAAACAAACAAATAAACAAAACCAAAAAACAATAGTGATGATAAATAAAGCTAAATAAATAATTATTTTTAAAAAGAATTATTTAATTTAATTTATTATTATTAGTTTTTAATTTGGCCGGGGGGGGGGGGTGAGAAAGCAAGGTGCTAGGTCTGGGACTTGAACTATGTTCAGCCATGTGGGAGTCCAGTGCCTCAATGACTATGCCACCTACCAGTCCTGAGATTTTTTTTTCTAATACTATTAAGATTCTCTTCAGATCTCTGATATGGGACCATCTCATTGACTGCTATATTTCTAGTGCCTCCAACTGTACCTGGCACCTAATTAGTATTCCATAAATATTTTTGGGATGGTGAATAACTTAACATAATAGAAATAATTTATAGTTTATAGTGCTTTATTACTTAAAAAGTATGTTAAAATTTTTTTTCTCTTTTAAGTATTTTGCCTAAGGTCAGACAATTAGCATGCAGTAAAGACAGGATATGATTGTTTTTCTTCTGCTATGCCAGGATTCTTTGGCTAAAAGTAAGCTACGCTAGAAGGAAATCCAAAATATCCCCTTTTCCTACCAAAATGTTCAGTTTTGTGTGTCGTCTATGCTAGTCTCAGGTATAATCTGATGCTATTCCTATGACATGGAGATGGCTATATATTTGCCTTTTCCAGAATTATTGATTACTTAAAACATCAACATTAAAAAATTATCCTTTTTTAAAAAAATAACATTGTATTATAAGGTTTCCCAAGATTTGGATTACGAAAACCCAGAGGTGGTTGCAGCTGGACATATCTATGAAATGATGATTTCAGTATTTGATGACCTCCGTCCCTCCCATACAGGTAATGTTGATAAACGTTTCAAGGAAGCAGTAAGTGCCTCTTCTGTAGACTCTTTGCTTTAAATTTTAAAATACAAATATTCATCACAGTACAGTTTTCTAAGTTAGGCAAAGCAGGAGAAGAATTTGGTAGACTCCTTCTGGAAGTTTTTGTTAGATTTAGAAAGTCTTCTTCACCTCTTAGCTCTATTTTGAGCAACACACAATTCATTTAATGGTTTTTTTTTGTTGTTGTTGTTGTTGCTGTTGTTTATTTTTTAATTTGCCAGAGAACATGTGTGCTCATCGAAGAGAGGGAGTGGGAGAGAGGGAGAAGTAACCCTCATGACACATGGTCCATGCTGTAGTTCTTTTTCCTCCATCTCGTTCCCCTTTTGGTAGTTTGAACATGAACATACACTCATCTGACAGATTTCTTAAACTTCTGGATCCAGGACTCAAACTGCATAGACATCCATGTGGGATCCAGCTGCCTTAACCATCAGGCCATGGAGCCAGTCCCCACAATTCTATTTATTGATTGATTGATTGATTGATTGAAAAGTTTTTGCTATAGGGCGCATGCGTTCGCCAGACAGACAGAAAGACAGAAAGCGAGAAATCACCCCCCCAGGGGGGATGGCCACGCCGCAATCCCTACTCCTCCATTCTCCCCTCAGCATCTTGGGCACGCATGCACATGCGCCCGGCGTGAGTTTTAAGCCACTGGGTCCAGGATGCAAACCACGGTCGACTACATGGGAGTCCAGCGACATAGTCATTACGCTAACTGTTGGTCCCCAGTCCCCACAATTCTTAAATACTGCTATGCTAGAGATCCTTGGAGCTACAAGGGACAAGAAGTACTGAGTCTTATGCTTGATACTTATATACTTTAATTTCTAGTAATGCCAAATACCTCTTACTTGAAAAGAACCAGATTTGGTGCAACATGCAGTGCCAACGTATGCAATTGGGTGCTCTTAAAATACTATTTTATTTGTAATATAGATAGAGCCATTAAGGCAAATCATGAGTTACTTGTCAAGTTCCACAGCTCATGTCATAAGGTGCAGAGCATGGTTTCTTTTGACTATTTTGTCTTCTCATAACTATCCCACCATTTGGGTCAGCCTGTGGTAGAAAGGGCCTTCGGTACAGTGAGATGAAGTCTCCTCAGATTGCATGATCATAAAACCCTCAGCATTTGTAACTTTAATAGTCAAAATTTGTTAATTCCAAGCTACATATTTGCACTGTGTGCTTTGAATCCAGAGCAGAACGCTCAGTGAGTGAGTGAGCTTAAGTCAGCAACCTAACACCTGCTTCTCTGTGCTTTCTGTTGTATACATGAGATCACACATTCAATGTTATAGAGGTATTTGTGAAAGATTTTCTAGGTGCACCTGTCATTAGTGTCAAGTGTCTGTTGTGCCTTGGAAAGTATGGTAATATGGCAGGTGGTTAGCATTAAAGATGTCCAAGAAGATATGGGTGTTTGGGTGGTAAACATAGGTTTAGTAGTAGAATATCAGTGCTTGATAAGGGACAATCATGGTGTTTGTGCTTCTTTTCCTGTGAGAACTTTGAATCATTGGTGGTAATTTTCTGGATTATTGGGTTGAGAAGGAGTCTAAGGTTTATCTGGGAGCAATGGGCAAGAGCACTTTGTTCTAGATGAAGAGTTGTGGAATGATGGCATGCATTTATTAGGTTGTCGGGAAAGTCATGACATAATTTTCTTGCAAAATGCATCATGACTTCCCAGACAATCCAATATATGTTTGCAACCAATAGGAACTTAATGCCGAACTATAATCAACACATCTAGGGATCTTTAAATCTCTTTAACTCACAGATATGAGGCTAACGGAGCTTAGTCTGGAAAGGTGATTTGTAGATGTAAATGACCAAGTATGTGGAGAAGCGACGTGCAGAATACAGGGACCCAAGCATGATAATATGGCCAGATTTCTTGTTGTATTCTTCACTGATGGCGTCTCATGTGTAGTCTGTTATAAAGCTCAACTGACCTTTTAGGATGGCTTTATCTTGCAGCTACCCATCCTGATGGTCTAATTAATAAAAAAGGAGCTCTCTTACTGATTTGGTTCTCCAATATGGATGTGAAAAAAAATTCCCTACAAGTATTAAATTCATGTCCTTGCTGGTCCTCACATCCCAACATATTCACAGCAACTGCTCATAAAAGATGCTTGTAACACCCTACATGTGGTTCAGGCTACTTTTATACACTAGCTAATTAGCACAATTTTGAGTCTTAATGGATGCAATAGAAATCATAGTATGGCAGTGCTATAAATGGCACCTGATCTTGCAACACATAAGTGGGATTTATTGAAGGAAATAGAGATGCTTTAACATAAATCACCTGTCTTTATAGAACAGCACTTTTTAACCTTTCTTGGGAGTCATGAACACCTTTGAGATTCTGATGAAAGCTGTAGACCTCAACCCTTGAAAAATGCATATAAAAACACATACCAAAATATAAAGAATGATATAGATTCCCTGAAGTTAAAAAAAAAAAATCTGTGAACCCCAGATTAAATTTGCCTGTTTGACACATGTGGCATAGATTTTTTTTTTTTTTGAGAGGTTTTCACTATAGGGCACGTGCGCTCGCCAGACAGACAGAGAGAGACATAGAGACAGAAAGCGAGAAATCACCCCCCAGGGGGTATGGTTACACCACAATCCCTTCTCCTCCATTCTCCTCTTGGGATCTTGGGCACACACGCATACGTGCCCGGCGTGAGTTTTAAGCCACCGGGTCCAGGACGCGAACCGCGGTCTACTACGTGGGAGTTCAGCGACATAGCCATTACGCTAACTGCTGGTTCCCAGTGGCATAGATTTTTGAGACAAATATAAGCATTCTTCAGAATGTGATTTCCGCAAGATAATCTATCGAAAAATAATTCTATGATCAAATTTTTGATCATAGGAAGTTGTTTGCTTTTATGTGTGAACATCAGATTCCTTCTTTTGACAACTTTCTGATATGTTTGTTTGAGCTTGCTGGTCTGAAATACAGGTTCCTTTTCTATGATACACAATACACAAACAACTGTCTGAAGTGAATAAAATATAATAATCACTTTTTACTTAACTTTTTATAGTTTGAAAGTACTTTGTGGTCATGATTTCATTCTCAATCTACATTCTGATATAGAATGAGGTAAAAGATTAAAACTGATTTTTTTTTTTTGATGAAAAAGCTGGGGCTCTGAAAAGTTAAGCCAGTTCAATGCCACAGAGTGTATGTTAATGCCAAGACTTGCTCTTGCTCATAGGTTTTCTAGTCTCTTTGGGTTCCATCTTCTAGAATACATTGGGTCATTGGTGATCTAATATATTAACAGCAGAATGTGGAACATGATATGCTGTGTTACATGTGAGATCCCAAGAAACTTTCTAATGGAGGAGATTATACCTGTGAAAAATACAATAAATTGTCTTGTGTAAAATATGTAATTATTGGAGCCAGCAGGTGGTATGGTGGTTGAGGTGCTGGACTCCTATGTGGCTGATAATGCTTCAAATCCCAGACCTGGCAGCTTTCTTTCTCACTTTCTCTCTCTCTCTGGTCAAAGTTAAAAAATAATGATGGTGATAAATGGAATTAAATGAAATAATATATACATATATACAAATGCACACATGTATACACACAAATGATATACAGTATTTATACATACAAAAATACCTATATATTCATATGATATTAAATAAAATATAACATGCAATACAATTTATTTTGTTGCCTAAATTGGCTTGCACCAGCATTCATTTGGGTTTCTTAAGAACACAATCAGGGAATAGGGATCATTTGGGAGCAGAGGTAATCCCATTGTAGTTTTAAAATCTTCTGCTAAACCTGTTCCTAGGGGAGCACATTGAGCTTGTTTGTAGAATTAAACCATCACCACAGCCAAGTATTTATTCATGTTTCAATTTTGCAGTAACTGTGACAATCATTGTGGAGATTGTTCCTGTCAACGACTTCAGTCCTGTATTTAAAGCTGCCCACTATTCATTCTCTGTTCCAGAAACATCAGGAGGTAAGAGATTCCTTGTTTCTATGGCATTAGAACATGCACAAGAAAACACCTATCAGATCTCAGATGAGTAGCCAATAGAAAAAAGCATGTACATTTACAAAAGGCAAGTAAATGAGGGAGTGTTTTGGGCTCCACACATTCAGAATACCAAATACCTGAATGCCTTCAGAGTATTATCCTGATGGCGTTCCAGAGGCTCCTTTGAATTTTGATGTCAGATCTAGGATTTTATAATAAAAAAATACACAGTATTAATTTATTTTGTTCCCCTTCCCTCTTGCTTCCCAATTCAGACTATGTGTAAAAAAGGTGGTGATGAGATCATTGTCCATGCAGTTTAATCCCATGAACATCAGAAGTCAAGATTTTAGGTTCATGGGTCGGCTCTGTGATTGGGTGGCTAAAGAAACTAGATCCCACAATATAGTTTGAGTCCCAGACCTGATGACTGGAGAAACATACTGGGAGCATGCATATATGTGCTTAAAGTCCCAAAAGTAAGGAGAAGTGGAGGAGAAGGGATTGCAGCATGACCATTTCCCATCAAGGTTACTGTATCCTCGCTCTCTCCTGAATGCAGTACCCTCTAGCCAAAAATAAAAAAAGTTAAGTTCATAGTCAAGGTCTTGGTCCAGGCTTATCTTGGCTGTGAATTAGATGTAAAGCACCACATATTCATTAGCACAGGCCAAGGAACATTAGACTTGGAAGAGACAGTAGAGATAATAATTGTATCCTCTCCCATCCAAGGCACATATCTCTTAGCATCTCCTCCAGGCTTGTCTTGAATACTCTAAGGGAAGAATGGAACTAATTGCATGATGGAGTTAAATCATACTGGCAACAACAGCCAATTGTTAAATTTTTTGGACTCTTGTGACCTGATTATTAAAAATAAAATTATATAAATTTAGTTACATAAATTATATTAAGAACAAAATTAATAATACTCAAACATCTTGAGGCTAGTTATATATATATATATATATGTGTGTGTGTGTGTGTGTGTGTGAGTGTGTGTGTGTGTGTATGTTCTAGTCTCTATATATTTTATATATTTATATGTATTATATATTTATATATTTTTTCTATATGTATATTTATGTATATAAAATGGTAGGCTATTGCCCTTCTCTTTCAGCTGAGTGATATTATAGTTTAAAATTGTGGTGGCTAATAGTGTAATATTATAGCATTGGGAGTTTCAGAGTTAAAGGAGCATTATGATGAGTCAGATGTTAAATAGTTCATGTGGCCAGCAGGTGGCATGGCAGTTTAGGCTCTAGATTCCCACTGGCCCACCATAGTTTGAATCCTGGACCTGGTTACTTGAAAATCACACCAGGCGCATGTGCATGTGTGCCAAAAAATCACAGGAGGGGAATGGAAGAGAAAGGATTGCGGCATGGCCATCCCCCCTCTCACTTTCCTTCTCACTACCCTATAGCAAACACCTTAAAAAAAGAAGAAGTTAAATAGTTCACAATTATTTAATCATTTCTTAGTGTCTAGATTTATTCTGGAGCAAAGGATCTGAACATTGCCTTTAAGAGTCCTGGGAGGGTAAAGGAAGGTTGTCAAAGGAATTCCATGACCCCTAAAGTTAACAATGATCAGTCAAGATTTTTTTATTCTCTTTTGTTGTAGTATTCATGTACTTGGCTGGAGAGAGGCAGAGAGAGAGACAGAAAAAGTAAAAAATCAACTCCCAGGGGAGATGGCCACACTGCAATCCCTTCCCCTCCATTCTTCTCTCGGGATTTTGGGCACACATACACTCACATATGCTCAGCATGATTTTCAGGTCGCCAGTCCAGGACTCAAACCGAACTGTCTACCACATGAGAGTCCAGCACCTTAACCACCATGCCACCTGCTGGCCCCTACCAGTCAGGATTTTAAAATAGAGACTTGCATTTAAAAAAAATAGCCTTCAAGGGCCAGCAGGTGGTGTAGAGGCCCACAGCAAAATTGAGCAGAGGCTTCAGAGATTTCCCATAGACTCTCTGCCCTGACATGGGCACAGCTTTCTCCACTCTCGGCATCTCCCATCAGAGTGGTACATCTGTTAGAATTGATAGACCTACACTGACACATTATTATCACCCAATGTCCATAGTTCACATTAGGGGTCATTCTTGCTGTACATTTTGTAGGTTTGGACAAATACGTATGGACATGTGCCCTCCATGACAGTATCATAGAGTTGTTTCACTGCGCTTAAAAATCCTCTGTGCTCTGCCTTTGCCTTTCTTCTCCCTAACCACTGGCAACCACTGATTCTTTTACCATCTCCATGGAGTTGCCTTTTGAGACTGGCATTTTTTAAAAAATGGCAGTTTAGGGACCAGCATTTGGCATAATGGCTATGTCGCTGGACTCCCACGTAGTTGACTGCAGTTCACGTCCTGGACCCAGTGGCTTAAAACTCACACCGGGCGCGTGTGCGTGCATGCCCAAGATCCCGCCGAGAGGAGAATGGAGGAGAAAGGATTGCGGCATGGCCATCCCCCCTGGGGGGTGATTTCTTGCTTTCTGTCTCTCTGTCTCTCTCTGTCTGTCTGCTGAGTGCACGCACCCTATAGCGAAAAACCTCTCAAAAAACAAAAACAAAAACCAAAAAACATGCTGGGCATGTGTATACAGCTTAAATCCTGACAGGGTAGAAAAATGGAGGAAAAGGGATTGTGGCATGAACATACGCTACTGGAGGGTGCTTTCTCTCCCTCCCTCTCTCTCTGTCTCTCTCTAGTGAGTGCATGCACCCTCTGGCAATTTTTAAAAAAGGAAAAAAACCCCAAATGTCAACCTTTTTATTTTACTATGAGAAAATTGGTGTGGGAGAGAAAACTGGGTTTACTCAAAAGTCACACAGCTAGTGAGGGGCAGAGACGGTGGCTAAATGCAGACCTCCTAATTCCTGGTCCAGTTCTCTGTTTCATATTCCAGGATGCTCTTCTTAGGTGAAGTTTGATGACTGAGGTCACCAAAAGTCTAAAAACAAATTTTAGACTTCATACAAAGAATTACATGGATCATTCCTATGTGAATCATTCTCTCAAAAGTTTATAGTGACCAGCTATCTCAGACAGAAGAGGTCTAGGTCTTTGAAGGAAGAGCCATGATGGAGCAGAAAAATGAAAAGCTCTGGAGTCAAGTAGAGCAGTTTCAAATCTGTCTCCACAACTGCCATTTAAATGAGTCCCTTAATCTCTTCATGACTTTGAATTCTTATCTATAAAATGAAGATTCTAGCTATCTCATAGAGTTGAGATGAGAATTAACTTTTTTTTTTGAGAGGTTTTTTGCTATAGGGCACATGCACTCACCAGAAAGACAGAGAGAGACAGAGAGACAGAAAGTGAGAAATCACCCCCCAGGGGGGACGGCCACACCGCAATTCCTTCTCCTCAATTCTCCTCTCAGGATCTTGGGCATGCACACACATGCACCTGGTGTGAGTTTAAGCCACCAGGTCCAGGACTCAAACCTTGGTCGGCTACATGGGAGTCCAGTGACGTAGCCATTACACCATCTGCTGGTCCTGAGAATTAACTGTTAATTGTGTGTATGATAAATGCATGACACATGTTAGCATAGTCAAGGCGTCATTATCAATGATAATAATAACCACTAACCTTTATTGAGGGCCTACAATGCACAATGTACCATAAAATTTTTGTCTTTGATGTTTTTTCTACCTTTAAATTGTAATTTCTGTTTTAAATATAAATGTTGCATATATTTGTAGGGTGGCCATACTATCCCTTCTCCTTCAGTATCTTCTTGGGATTTTGTGCATGCACACACATGCACCCAGCCTGAGGTTTTTAATTTTTTTTATTTATTTTTATTTTATTTTTTAAGCTTCTGGGTCCAGCATTTGAACTGCGATCAACTACATGGCTATCTAGCGATGTAACCATTATGCCATCTGCTGGTCCCAACGGTATAGTTCTTTTTTTTTAATATTTATTTATTTAATTCTATGTGTTATTATTATTTTTTAATGTGACCAGAGAGAGACAGAAAGAGAGAGAGAAAGGGAAAGTGAGAAGGCAAGCCGTGAGATCTGGAACTTGAACCACGATGGGCCATGTGGGAATCCAGCCCCTTTAACCACCATACCACCTACTGGCCCCTCCAACAATATGGTTTTTAAAAGCACGTAACGGTGTGTAATAAATGAATGAGATGGATAAAAATTATGGCATATATGCACAGTGGGATACTATTTTATTTTTTATTTTATTTTTTTAAAGTTTATTTGTTCCAGGAGAGGGGGAGAGGGAGAGAAATAGTGAGTTCGTCTCCCCGAGTAGGGTCTTCCCATCACGACCTACCCTACGCCAGTGCGGGTCCTAAGCATAAGTGCAGGCATACCCAGAACCTCTCAAAAAACAAAAACAAAAACCAAAAAACATGCTGGGCATGTGTATACAGCTTAAATCCTGACAGGGTAGAAAAATGGAGGAAAAGGGATTGTGGCATGAACATACGCTACTGGAGGGTGCTTTCTCTCCCTCCCTCTCTCTCTGTCTCTCTCTAGTGAGTGCATGCACCCTCTGGCAATTTTTAAAAAAGGAAAAAAACCCCAAATGTCAACCTTTTTATTTTACTATGAGAAAATTGGTGTGGGAGAGAAAACTGGGTTTACTCAAAAGTCACACAGCTAGTGAGGGGCAGAGACGGTGGCTAAATGCAGACCTCCTAATTCCTGGTCCAGTTCTCTGTTTCATATTCCAGGATGCTCTTCTTAGGTGAAGTTTGATGACTGAGGTCACCAAAAGTCTAAAAACAAATTTTAGACTTCATACAAAGAATTACATGGATCATTCCTATGTGAATCATTCTCTCAAAAGTTTATAGTGACCAGCTATCTCAGACAGAAGAGGTCTAGGTCTTTGAAGGAAGAGCCATGATGGAGCAGAAAAATGAAAAGCTCTGGAGTCAAGTAGAGCAGTTTCAAATCTGTCTCCACAACTGCCATTTAAATGAGT